GCAGTGAAACAATGATTTGAAAATTAAGTCGATAAAACTGTATGCATATCTTTGATGGGGACCAGAAAATTTTTTTTGGTCCTATGCACATCTCTAATTTGGTTCTAGTAATATAAAATATCTATTGTTGTATGAAATTAGAAACGACTATGGACATACGCATATCAATGACTCATTATGCCTGAACACACATATGGTAACTAGAGCAACTCAAATACTTGATATATATGGATATGTAGAGAAAAATCACGAATAAACGATCGACTTCGCTTTTCGTTTTACATTTTCCCAAATATTTTTTTCGGTTTCTCTTCTTCTTCTTACTCTATTACACTATCGATAATTGTGTAGAGATGGACAAGAAAATAGAACATGAGAAAGTTACAAAGTAGAAATGGAAAAAATAACAGTCAGTCACTTACATACAGCTAGTTACTCTTTCTTGTTCTGTCGTTATTACACGTCATCCGTAGAAAAGAAAATTTGTATATTCACTTTTGACCTGAAGCAACACATCGAAATAAAAGCAAAAGAAATATGATAATGTCTTTTACGAGTTGTAGGACTTAGTCACTTGAAGATTCCGTAAACCTTTTCATCTTTAAATGTTTAAATCGAATTTCTATTACATATCGATACCTAATATAGAAAACCTCACATAATCTGGATAGATAAATGATAAGAAATGACTCGTAGTGACTCCGATTGAGTCACTGTTACTTAAATAGTGTTTAAAAATTTCTTTTTCGAAGGATTCGAACGAAATTTTATTACATGGAAAAATATGAAATATGAATTTTCCCGTAATATAAACATATATTCCACTCTTGGTAACTTTTAGTGAGTTACAGTCATTTAGAGGTTTATCGATATATTTATTGAAAAATATTTATCAAATTTAATTTATGTAAGGGAAATAACATAAAAATTTTGACAAAGTTTATGCGCTAATGCAACACGAGAGAGGCTGATCAGTTCGTATAGGTTATTGTTGAGAAGTTCATTACGGTATGCTATCGATAACAGTTTGTACAACTTTATTTCGTGTGTTACATGTTCAACGTAAACACGAAACGAACATAGAGTCGTATTGAAGATTCATCGTTGAAATAATGTTACCTTGACATTTTATTTGCAAAAACCCTATCAACAAGAATTAAAATAAATGGTATTATCGGCTTGTTTTTCAAATTGACTATTTTGAAGAGGCGTAAATTCTTTGACGACGTCTTACAAAAATGAAAAAGACGATAAAATTGTAAAGATAGCTGAGTATAATGACATACTAAAATACTGCTGCGTGTTTTTAAGAAAAACTTTTGATAATGAAGAAAATGATACGATTTATCAATTATTTAATATGATATGCATTTGATTAGTGCAGAGATCATGTAACCGAAAGATGTTGTATTCGATTCTGAACATACTTGTATCATACTTTATATATGACCCCTGTCAATTCGATTACCACAAGTAATACGGATTTATTTTTCTGCATTTCGGTGATTTCTATGAAAGCATTTCTGTTGCGATTAGGTCATACATAACAAAACTCTTCGTCAATCGCTTATTGATCATGTTGATCACAAGAAAAGAGCAGTTTGTGTTGAGTTGGAAGCAAATGATTCACTGATAAAAAGAAATGCAACAACAAACAAGTTGGGAAAAACCTTGTCACTCTATGTTTTATGTGATTGATAACATATAACAACCTTTTGATTTTTTCCAACATCGAATTATTTGTGTACATTGAAAGTGGAGCAAGTATACATATAGTTCTTATCTCACTATTACCCATTATATTTATTTGTTACGATTCACACATACAAGTTATCATGCCGACTTTAATTGATGAGAGTATTTTAGAAAATATTTGTTCCGGTCTCACTTTAAAATCTCGTGGATCTTGATAAGATGAGATATCGTTTGCTCATAAAATCGAATTATAATAAAATTTGGATCACTGTTTGATTCTATGATAGAAAAAAGTTTCCGATTCTGTTAACCTACTCTCCATCTAACTCTTAGCCATATATTGACTATGTTGTCGATAGTTTTTTTTATAGCTGAAGTTAGCTTTTCAGTATCGCATGATATGTTTATTTTAGATACTCAAATACCAATGAGCTATACAGTGTCAAAACCAATGGAAAGTTCAGAAAAGCTAAAACAGCATTTAATGAGGAGAATTATAATTTAGCAATTGAGTTCTATAGCTATGCACTTGAACAAGTGTCAAAATATGCGCCATATTTGACCAATCGTGCTTCATGATACTATCATTTAAACAACGCCAACAAAGATTTATATGATACTCTGAAAAGTATTCAATCTGATCTAAAATGAACTAACGGCTATCTTTACAAGGAAAAACCATTAGAAATGTTAAATTGTGAAGAAGAAGCAATAGCTAGTTATAGAAAATGTTATGAATTGGAGCCGAACCAACGTGAATATGGCCAAGCTTTAAAAGAATGCCTAAAAGGAACACAACGAAGAACTACGCCAATGAATGCAACAAAACAACAAGATCCGAAACATGATGTCTATTGCGATGTATGTGAATGTTTTCTTCTAATGGGGATTCGATACAAATGCTCAATATGTGATGATTAAGATTTATGTTCAAAATGTCTGATCTCAAATCCGAATTAAAAAGGTCACCTGGACACAAATCCTCTAATTCTTTATAAACAAAATCAAACACTATCTTCAACATCAGCAATACATAGTTCGTCGACTATTGCATCGGGTCAACAAATCGACATGGGTCTAAAGATACACAGTTATAACGTTGTTTTTGTAATGATGGAAAAAATCGAATAAACCTATTGAAAAACCTTTGGTCAGCAACAGAAAGTGGCATTATTAAAATAGCGAGTCAATTAGGTCTGAATGATCATCTAACATGTCTTGCATTCAATGTTAAAGTCTACGAAGTAATCGATTGTGAATCGGTAAATATGGCCAAATTAGAACTGGCACGGCATTGTACAACGATATTGACACAACTTTGAATTTTTATTGAGAAATAAGTTGGCCGGACTATTTACAAGTGATTCAAATCGAAATTAAATTATTTTGATCACAGATGGAGAAGATGTCAGTTCGACAAAAAGTTCACTAGCACAAGCATACGAACAAACAATAGAAATTTATGAGATTGAAATACAGACATGTTAATGATAGGTATTGAACTTGACACACACGGAAGAAATGCTATGAATCATTTAAAAGAAAATGATTGCAATAAATGTAAATTTGTAGATTTGACAAATTTATCCGAATTGAACGATATTTTTCATCGTCTATCATTGGTATTCAATCAATGAACAACTGTTATCAATGTTTAAATACAAAAAAGACCGACTTTAATTATTGCTTAATGTTAATCTGGAAATTGAAAAGGTCTCTTTCCATTTCTTCGTGATGGAATACATAGTTTGTGTGGGTGTTGCTGAACAAAATGTAGAACACTGTCTAATTAGATAGGGCGCATCCATAAAGACGAATCACGATTTCCTGATGCTATTAATTAGTTATAGATTTGGATCATAGGAATGATTCATTAGGTATTAAGAGCTTTGAATTCATTGTAATAGATCTTAATCAACTTTGAATTAGAAAATTATCGACTAATATCGGGTTTTTCCTGTTATTTGGTTTCCCTTAAAACTAAATAAAAAGAAACACTACTAAATTTGCATGTATTTCTTGGTGATAAAATTTCAATATATGTCAAATATAAATGAGATTCATCTAATCATTCTTAAGTTTTTCTATCTATCTCCAATTTGAGGATGGGTAAGGGAAGATCTTCTCTTTACTTGCACTATTGAATTCGCTATTGAGAAATCTGAATACATTCTCCTCAATCTTATATTGAGAGATATATGTAATGTTTATTATACACAAATTTGAACTCTTCTTCCACATGTTTCTATTGAGTAGAATACGATTTAGCAATCATTCAAACTCGCTTCCAATGATGCACCTCTTCAATGAATGAGCAACGTTTTGAATTAAATCGTTTCATTCCATTGTTCTATCCAATCCAAATGACACATTTAGATTAGAAAAAGAGCGAATGTTGATCATACCGTGAAAAATAATTATTCGAATCAGACAAGAAAGACAAATATCAACAGAATGAAGGTCAAACGACAAAGAATATATGTATTGTCATCGAAAAAAATATTGCTCATACTTGACTTATCTATTCTTCTGACAATCTATCGAGTATAGAGTCAAGCAGAAACATGAGCATATCAGATATACTTCTGTCTTTTTATGTCTATTGCGACAGAAAAGAAAACTTCCAATAGTGATAATTGTTCGACCTAATTGAGTGAATTGATTCTGCATTCAGTGAATTTTTTTCACTTGTTCTGAAAAGTTTTCTTTCAAAAAAACAAAAGTCATCATTCGTTGTTATGTTTGACGGCTTTTTCCAAAATCCACCTGACTTTGTATTTGTCATGAAAAGGACGATACAGATTATGCAAAATCATTAGAGATGATGGAATAAACGATTTTTAATGAGAAATTCAATAGAAATCATCGTCACTTGCAATCAGATCATTCAATCAATTCTACAATTGTTTGCGACTGTTTTGAAAATATCCAGGACAACTGATCGTTATGGATCGAGAGACGAAGTTCTTCAACTGATTTTTCCGTTTTGATGCTTCAATTAATATGATTTTTACGAATGAATCGTATCCAGAGAAAACCGTTCATGTTTCTTAAGTCATTAAAACAATCATGAAATCGATTGATAAATGCAGTATCAATATCGAATCAAATTTAAGAACCTAATAAATCTATCGGAATTCGAGGATGAGTGGGAATGAAAAAATCTTCATAGACACACACATGTGGAATATCAAGTATATGTAAATAAAATTAAAAAAAGGAAGAACATCAGATCAAATGAAAAGAGCGAACAATAAATACAGAGGAAAAGCACAAAATTGATTATACAATTGATTATTTTTTTCTTAAAATTTATCTACGATTGTTTTTTCCACAGTTGCCGTTGAGTTTTTTCTTAATTCTCTTATATATTTCCACCATAGTTGAATCAAATGACATGACATCAATATTACAAGTGATAATACAATTAACCATGCCTAAAATGAAAGAAACATTAATTGTATAAAATGATGATGAAAGACATAATAAAAGACTTACTCTCCATGAAAGAGAAACATCATCTGTTAATTTCACTAAACCATATTGAGCGGTAGCAACAGCACCAACCAAAGTCCACATAACACCTGTTAATGTACCAATATATTGTGATGGAAAGCTAAACAAAAGACAAATAAATATTTACAATGATGAAAACACTTTTAATTTCTTATTTGCTATGGAATCTCTAATATTGAAAATATTCTAAGTAAGACTCACAATGTTGCTACGACTGCTTGACTTCCACCTACAATCGTCGCTCGTGCAAAACAATTGATTATTAATGCTGGAATAATCATACTCTTTTGTGCAAACATACATACAATACATGCCACAATATTTATAAGCCATGATATAGTTTGCATTAATGATATATTAAATAATTTTTGTTTCTTACCTAAATAATAAGAAAACAAAAATTTTAAAATTGAAATGAAAATTAGGATGTTACTTTTATTAGCTTTATATCCAAGTAGAAAACCATTCAATGGACAAATTAAAATAGCAGAAACAGTAGATAAATTAAATGCAAATGTATATTTATTAGCTACAATAGAAAAAAGAAGAAAATCAAAATAAATAATTATGAAATAAAAGAATTTTTTGGTTGATCGTATTATTTTTTCTGACATGAATTCTTATCATGTTATGAAAAGTTTATTCTAATCAGAAAGATATTAATTACTTACTTAATACTGTGTCTTGTTTTGTAATATAATATACCCATGGATACCATGTCACAGCAAGAAAAATTCCCGGCAATAATAGAATACTTAGAAATAAAACAACTAATATATACAATGGACTTGTTAAATAATTCCAAACACCTTTGCGTTTCAAAATTCGCATATACCATTTTGTTTTATCTATTTCACTATTGTTCGATGATTGATCTTCGTCTAAATAGAATGAAAACGAAATAGTTATATATTAGAAGAAGCAATATTATTTCAAATTTATCTTACTATTAATGATATTTGAACGAATTTTTTTCTTTTCTAATTTTGTATCAAATTGATAGGGTAAATTTAGGATTGGAAATCTCCAATCAAGAAACACAAATGAACTAATCAACATTAATACACCAAATGACATCCATATATAAGAAAGTTGTTGTAATGTTATTTTTTTAGCATCAATTAAAACCTATACGAAAAAAACGAAACAAATATGTTGAAGTTTATCAAAATGTTTCATGACATACTTGAAATATTGAATACCACATTGTAGCTGACGTACATGCTCCAGCAAATAAAGCCGATACAAAAGCTCTTGATTTTGAAAAATAATCACTTGATGTATAAGCTGTTAGTAAGACAATAATACCAGCCAAAGATGAAAAACTTGTATGAACATATAAAAATGCATCTCGTCCTTAAATAAAAATCGAACGACATTTATAATATAGAATATTTATTCGCCCACATACTTACCAGGTGTGACTAGTGCTAATGCTAACCATCCGATAATATGAAATATTCTTAAGAAAAGACAAATAATAAAGATGAAGAAGAAAGTTTTGAGAAATAAAGCTATTATAGACGAGAGATAAGTGATGCTTACATTGCAATTAATTTAACAAATCGACATCCAAATCTATCAATCAATGGACCAATAATGACAGATGGAATTTCAAACAAAATAATTCCTAATGTTAATGCATTCTAAAATTAATTATAAACACGAATCAACCAATAAAAAAAACTTAATTAATCTAACATATCTCTACATACTTGATATTGTCTTGTTTGATGGGCTTCACAAGATAATTCTGTATTTTCTATTTCTGTGTTATTCATTGATGATGATGATGAACAATTATTATTATCACCATAAATTCCATATTGTGGTAAAATTTTAAATAAGGCTGGAAATCCAAATATTGTACCACCAATTAAATTGACTTCAATTAAAAGCCATATAACACCAAACCATTTACGAATTGAATGATGATCTTTTGTTTCTGCAGTTTTTGTTATAACAGTAAATGCCATATTGATTCAAAAGTAAATCAGAAGTCTCGAAGAAGATATTTTATTAAAAAAATAGTCAGTAGTAAAATGTATATGATGAAATTGCTTCGTGGTTGTTGTTTTTATAATTGTGAATTTTTTTTTGTCAATTTTCCTCGAATATTTAATTATCATTTTTATCGTTATGACGGCAAATGTCCAACTTTAATATTTACCTATGTCATGATACGGTTATCAAGTATATTTAACTAATCAGTTCCTTTTTATTCAAAACAATAAAAGAAAAAGCACGTTTGTGTATTGATGTATCTGAGAATGAAAGAACGAAAAAAAAACCTTTTTTGCGACAACATTCTATAGATGTTTGACTAATGACATATCTCAAACTAGGATGTGACGCGTATTCCTAGATGTTTTTAAAAAGATAATAATATTTAATTCTTCCGTTTTTTTTGTCGACGAAAGTGAAGGTTATGGTTGTTACCAAATACAAAACAGATGATGCTATAAAAACTCCAGTTGAAATCACAATTTTCTTTATGTTACAAATAACAATACGATACAAGTCACAAGCTCAGTAAGATTATCTTTCAGAAAAATCAAAATTTATTGTATTTTGTTAGAAATACAATCAAAAATGGTTTTTAAGCGAAAATTTAGTTTAAATGTCGAATGTATTCAGCAAGAAGAAGAATTAGAAAATTCATCAACACCATTCATATTAACTCCACTTGGAACAAAACATTTCCGTCGACAATTGAGTGAACAGAATTTCGGTAAGTCTATCGTTTAGAGTCTATGGGCTTTTTTATTTCAAACTGAATTCTAAAATCAAAAAAACCACACCAATTTCTTCCGAATCAAACTTTTCTCACTTGATACTACGTAGTCTCACTAAAAACCCTTAGTCCCCCCTAGTCCTGCAAAGTCCCCCTTAGTCCCCCCCACAAAAAGCTTAGTCCCCGCTTAGTCCCCTGTTCAGGGGACTAAAGCCTATAGTACACAAAACCACAAGCACACCCTCANCATCGGACTTCGAAACCTGATTGACATTCCAACTGAGTCGGAGTAGGTGGGATTGAAAGGAACTGTTTCAGAGTTCATGCCAGAGTTATATTAGTACAACAGGCAAATAATGTTACTCTAATCAAGAAGCAAGTTTATTGATGAAATATTATTGAATAAACAAAAGTATTCTACTTTTAGTTTTAGAAATAAACTTTAAGAAAAAAAATGACACAAGGAAGATGTTCACATTAACTGTTAGCATAAAGGAAAAATAAAATAGACTAATCCATGATGATCTCTTTATTAAATAAGTCATTGAAACTATCTTCGGCGTCGAAACGTAATTGTTTAGGAATTGTGCAGGTGGATTCTTCAGAAGATACTATTGTTGTCGATGGATGTGCGTGTAGTTGTCTATGTGGTTAATTTTTCAAAAGAAAACCGCCTCCACACCCACACGCTTCACAATATTTCTAAAACTTTCTACATTCTGTTCACATACTGGAATAACACAAATATGCCGAAAACCACCAAAAGTTCTATCAGACTTCATGATTCTTTTTTATAATGTCTTAGTCTTAGAGTGACCTCGAATAATCTAAGTTTTACTTAAAATTCAAGTAAAAAAACTCATCTAACTTTTCGGCATAGATTTACTAATGAAATATTTACAAACTGTTAGTGGTCAGAATTGCATTGCTTATACGCCCACATTCTTTGTTATGAATAGAAAACTGAATATTAAATCGTACAACGAATTCATTTGTTCACATGACTACGATACATAATTGAATGTATACTAAGTGGAAATCTATTTCTGATAGACCAAATAAATGCTTTCTACGTGGAAAACAATCAAAGTCGTCTCTCTTGATAAGAGATCCGAGTTATTTATCCTCAAAAATATTTGTTGTCAAAACCGAGATGAAATTGCTAGTCGAAAACGATTTTCGTCGAGAAACACGCTTAAGTTTCGAAAACTTTGTTACTAGAAAATTCAAATGATCTTTTTTCTAACTCTCAGAAGCTTTACTTTTAGTAGTTATGTGTTGAAACAGTAATAGCATGATCTATGATGAACTACATCGATTGCTCTTTGATGAACAGTCAGTTTGAAGTTTGTTTACATTTTATACTATTTTTTTAAACGCTTTTTCATTTTGAAAAATGACTCATTTTAAAAACAATTTCATCAAGTGTCTGTTTAAAGTTATTATCTTAGTGATCAATGAAATAGTTGTGTTCACAGCCCAAGAAAATCAATTGTGATTCATTTATAATGTCTTTGAATAATATCAGATCAGTTGAAACTAGAGAAAAAGTGATGTTGCGTTAACAAACAGTAGCGTAGGCGTATTCTTAGTAACTTTGAATGCATGTAAATTTGTGTTTATTCCTTTTTCTCTTAACATAGAAACTCTACAATTCTTATCTTGATAAAAAAAAACGCTAGATCGAAGATCAAATAACATGTTCGTCAACAAAATGTATCTTTCGACAAGTGACTCTTAACTCCTTATCGTTTCCCTTAACTTTTCTAAGAAAAACTAAAATAATTTTTATTTGTTGACATTGTTTTATGATATTTCTAGCTTCATATCAGAATAGTTATAACGCTCGAAAAACACAGAACAAAAACAATGGTGTTATTCAAAATGAGACGAGAAAGTTTGACAATAAGCAAAAGGAGTTTATGTTCCTTTTCATTTTGAATGACATTTTTGAAAAAAAAATCACTCCCGCTTTTCCCAAACTCAGGCGATTAGGAGACCTAAAAGAAGCAATGTGTTTCTACACACATGGTGGTAGAAGACGTCTTACAAAAGATAGAACTAGTCCATATCGTATAGAATCTCCTTTTATATTGATCAAGTACCGAGAAACCCTTGGAGAACTTTAGAACATATTATCTTCTACAAATCTTCATCATAACACATTAGTGGAAATGTATCAATGCTTAATCGAATTCTCCTTTCGATATGATGTTAAATTCATAGTTGACAAGTTCTGCTTGATTCATTCATACAGAGTTCATTTCTGAAGTTTGTCTCATGAAACTACTGTTACATTAGTAGAACAACACTGATAACCAATATTTTTCATGATTTTCCACTGGTCCTCGAGCTCAAAACTGAAATCCATTGATATAAATGAACTTATGCTTAAGATAAACTAAAATGATCTCAATGATTTATTATCAATCGACTTGTTCGAAAAACTCTGAATAGGTCAACTAGAATGATTTCATTTGTCTGTTTTTGTTCAATTTCTCAACTCAATGATTAAATTCTGGATTCAATTAAGATCAGTTTGATCGATAATTGTCAAATGAATGATCAAAATCGAGACTGTATTTTCCATTTGAATAATCGAATCAATACGAAAGACACTTCTCATATCAAAGATAACTTTATGCTTGTCGAAAAACGTCGAACAACAAGATATATTGGCATAGGGCGTCTATAACGAATGTTTTGATTTACTTGTGTTAGGAGTGTATTTCTTGTGTTTATTCACCTCAGGGAGGATCGATACACATGCACACATCAAATAAGCAAAACCATAACTGATTGAACTGAATATCCGAGTATGTCTAACTTACTAAAGTATTTATGGCTAGAATATATGGGCAAAATCATTTGTTAGCGATTTAACTTCACAAAATTAAAACGTGTACATCTCGCGATAATGAACTTTCTTACAGCTAGTTCTTGTATACCATATGTATGTTAAAATGTAAAATAAAATAGAGTCACTTTAATTGTAAAGCGGAAATGTCGATGCATTACTCATTGTGTGATGGCATTGGAAGAAGTAAGGTTTCGAAATGTCTGTGCTAATCTGTGACGATAAAATGGATTTTTTAGAACATATCTTTGACTATCAACGGAGCAAACTAGGAGAGGAGTCAATTTTCGCTACATGCTTCAAAATTTATTGTCAAGCCACAAAATGAGTTACATCATGATATGTGGATGTATCTGAAAAGAGTACTCTTATTCACACCAACACCAATGTATCTTATTTTAATTGCAACCACTGTAATAGGAAAATATTAACAAGGTCTCTTGTAGAATGTCACCTAATGTAATGAGGTTACAGTCATTCAAAGTATATGCAATGTAAGTTCCATCTAACATAGTATTTAGATCATTACGTGATTGTAAGTGAACTTTTCATGCGATGGTAAATTCCTATTTCCAGGAAATTCAAATAAACTAACTATAGGAGAAATTTCATGGAAATTTAAGCGAATGCTTTTAAGAATAATCATAGAAGACTCTTCTAATTAAAAAAAGAATATAGAAATGAAGTTGAAGTCTAAATGAGGATTGGGTTGGGTTGGGTCGGGTTATAAAATGAAACCATTGTCGTATGAAATGTTTATAGAAAAGAAATTGAAGTTGAAGTTAGGTTTGGTTTGGGTGTGGGTGTGAGTCTGAGCAAAGAGACGCAGCTAACATTCACACCCAACCCAACTCAACCCGACCCAATCCAACCCCACATCAAACCATATATTATGTATATATTAAAATCCGTAGGATGATTCGATAAGATGTAGCCAATTTCGAATTTCCTGAAAATGAAAATTTACCATGCCCTCTTCATTATCATCAAAATAGATTCAACATATGATTTTTGATGTCGTACTTAGTAGAGAAGAAAACTGAAAATTAAATAATGTGTCACAGAGCCAAGAACAACTAGAAACATACATAAGTAAATAATTGTTAGCTGCTCAGATTTTTCAAATTTTTGATGACTCAGACTAAAATTCAGACGTAAGATCTTGTGAAACAGATGAAATCTTATGAAAAACGTACGAAAAATCGTGTTGTCTCCAAAACTTACATTAAGCCTTGACGTACCATTCTTAGAAGATCATATTATGTGTACGATACTTGAAAGAATCGTATGCCAAAACTTGATGTAAGCTTTGCAGACACTACGATTTTTCGTACAATTTCCGTCTGATCTTAAAAAATCATAGAGGATCAGAGGTACGATCTTGT